TAATTTTATGTATGCTAAAAAACCCTTAATTTTATGTATGCCAAAAAAAACTTAATTTTATGTATGCTAAAAGCCTTAATTGTATGTATGCTAATAGAACCTTAATTTTATGTATGCTAACAAAACCTTAATTTTATGTATGCTAATATAACCTTAATTTTATTTATGCTAATAAAAACTTAATTTTGGACGAATAGCAAATATTATAAGCAATCCCTGGAAATGTATATTTAGATTTATTTATTTCAAAAACCCTGGAGAAATACGTGCATCCATTTGCTTCAGTAGGTTTTAAAAAAAAAAAAAAGAAATCATCTTGCTGAAATCTACTACTAATATTACCGATACATGGTTGTTAACAAATACATCTAGTTCCCGGTCTAAAATGCTAATAAAACCTTCATGCTAACAAATCCTTAATATTATGTATTTTAATAAAACCTTAATTTACCTTAATTTTATGTATGCTAATAAAACCTTAATTTTATGTATGCTAAAAGAACCTTAATTTTATGCTAATAAAACCTTAATTTTATGTATGCTAAAAAAAACCCTTAATTTTCTGTATGCCAAAAAAACCTTAATTTTATGTATTCTAAAAGCCTTAATTGTGTGTATGCTAATAGAACCTTAATTTTATGTATTTTAATAAAACCTTAATTTACCTTAATTTTATGTTTGCTAATAAAACCTTAATTTTATGTATGCTAATAGAACCTTAATTTTATGCTAATAAAACCTTAATTTTATGTATGCTAAAAAACCCTTAATTTTATGTATGCCAAAAAATACTTAATTTTATGTATGCTAAAAGCCTTAATTGTATGTATGCTAATAGAACCTTAATTTTATGTATGCTAACAAAACCTTAATTTTATGTATGCTAATATAACCTTAATTTTATTTATGCTAATAAAAACTTAATTTTGGACGAATAGCAAATATTATAAGCAATCCCTGGAAATGTATATTTAGATTTATTTATTTCAAAAACCCTGGAGAAATACGTGCATCCATTTGCTTAGTATTTCTATTGGGGTTCCTACTAATAACCGAAAAGAGTGGGTTTTTTTTGTCAATATCGCCAAAACTCTTATAAAAAGTGCCTGACAATGAAATATATAGATAGTCACAGTCCGGCGCTGCACACAATATCCAAAATCTAAAATGATTTCCTTAAAAATTGACAAAATTATGGATAATTAAAATATTGAAAAAAAATTCCTACTGATATCCGACAAGAGTGGAAATAAGCGAAAGGATTTTCATAATCTTTGTAAAGTTTTGAATATACAAAAGAAGACCGTTAATCCTTTTTTTTCAAAATTTTTGGAAATCGTCATGGCAATCTTTGCTTTTATTATTACACACTGCCTTAATTATGATGGGAGGGGTGGATGGCCGAGTGGTAAGGGCGTGCGCGCTGCATCATAAGGCCTGTCATTGAGTCAACTGGCGTGGTTTCGATTCCCCGGTTGTACGTGACAAGGAGTTGGTCGCCTGTCGAACCTCGTGGGTTTTCTCCCGGTCCAACCTCGAGGGTTTTCTCCGGGTCCCCCGGTTTCCTCCCACTGCTAAAGATCCCTAAGCGCAAGCAAATTATTAAAATAAATTTGAACCATGTGTTAGACCTAGTTTTTTGTCGAGTGGACGTTAAACCCCATTTCTCTCTTAATTATGATGTATAGAAAGGATAATCTGTGCCTTACGAATATTGTCAGTGAGGGGGAAACAGAGACACTATTGCATACACCAGAGATTCGTAAATACCATTTTTTACAGCAGTGCTAAATGCATCTAAAATGTAACTTGGTGGCCTTTATGTCCCAAAGAGACCCTTATCAGACCACAGTCTCCTTTGAGGAGGTTGAGGTCACCCTTCATAACAACCACAGAAATCTGCATTTAATACGATTGAAGACAATGCACAATGAGGACATTGGACTTAAAGAGGGTTCATGCGAGAGCTAAATTTGTCTATATCTGGCTTCTAATATTTTATGAATTATTATATAGACATTTAAGCCCGTAATCAACCCTCAAGGACATTGGATGGCTTAAATAGTGAGTGGATTAGACAAGGTCTGACAAGGACAGCTGTCTAGTCGTTGGGATGGGACGAAAAACTGAACTGGGCTAATGAAATCGGGCATACGCCATACAGTGTACTATGAGGGACATTTTGCCCGGGCAGCGGCGCTACGGCCTACTCTTATATCGAATTCCAACTGCCAAGGGATCTTTTACGTGCACGCCAATGTGTACAGGGGACCTCGGTTTTTCTTCCTATCCGAACGACTAGACAACTGTCCTTGTCAGGTTACAGAGCAAGAACGATCAACTCTTTCTCTAGATCTGATACAATGCGTCTTTAAGATGAAATATATAAATTGGGATAATTGCCCCGACCGATGATTTAACTGATTTCCTTAACGACAGTCTAAAGATACCAATTAAAACTATCCAACTATGCTGCTCCACACCTCTCATACAACGCTCGAATAGTGCAGCTAATGGAATCACGTGATCTTTATTGTACGTTTTAATTCCAACCCATCTGTCGCTTTAGATAAAACTTTAGACTAGCTATACAGCGCTAAATTCGTTTCAACTTTCAAATACCCTGACATTTATTACTTGCTTATTAGCACTAATTTGTACACGGAGATAGACACTAATATTTTCTATTAAAAACGTATAGTCATGGTTTTATTTCTTTCACAAAGTGTTTGTCTTGGGAAAAGCAAAACACAATTGTTACCTTTCTTGATGAAAAGCGGTTTTGAAGTATTGTCTTGTTTAAACAAATGATTAATGAAAAAGCAAATGTTTTTGACGCTTGTAGAATATTGGACAATGTTTATTTTTTATCGGATGGTAATAATTTAAAGGTCAATATTATCTATATTATATTGTCAGTTGAGATGATGTTGTTACACAAACATCTTGAAAATTATTTTGGCATTTTCAAACTGGTATCATTGAGATATTACGCTTAAAAAAATGCCCATGATGTAATTGCTGAAATAGTTCAAATATTGGAAGATTATAAGGGAGAATATACCCAACATCATATATAATTATTGTAGAGCTCATTCAGTCCTGTTTAAAGGTAGATTGGGGGATCACGTGGCTAAGTGGGTAAGACGCTGGCTCGTTAGCCTGGAGGTCGGGCGTTCGTTCCCTGCATTGGCCGAGAAAGTTTATCCAGATTTTCAGGCGTGGTTTCCCCTTGTCAGTGATGCAGGACGGAGGGCCTGACAAGGACAGCTGTCTAGTCGTTCGGATGGGACGAAAAACCGAGGTCCCGTGTACAAATTGGCGTGCACGTAAAAGACCCCTTGGCAGTTGGAATTCGATATAAGAGTAGGCCGTAGCGCCGCTGCCCGGGCAAAATTTCCCTCATAGCACACTGTATGGGGTATGCCCGTCTTCATTAGCCCAGTTTAGGAGCAAAACAGTAGGACGTTAAACCCCATTTCATTTCATTTTATTTAAATGTAGATCGAGGAGATGGGGCGGAATATGAAGGGGGGGGGGACGGAATATGAAGGGGGGGGGGGGTCGGGTGCATTTCCACACGAATATGTCGTTTTGAACCTTATAATTTTATGTATGCTAATGAAACCTTAATTTTGGACGAATATTATAATAAACCCTTCGAAATGTACATGTATATTCAGATTTATTTATTTAAAAAACCCTGGATTTAAAGGGGGATTGAATCTGGGACATTTCCATACGAATATGTCGTATTTGGTGGTTTGTTATTCCCATAACACTAACCATTGCGGTGTCCATCACGGCCTGGTGCATGTGTCATTTTTACCGAATCGGTCACATCTCCCCAAACGGCCTGAATATAGACAACTCTGTAGACTCTCGATCCAGAGCTGGATTTAACAACTTCTGAACTGTTAATAATTAAACATGGTTTTCGGTATGTTCACTCTTGATGTCTAACTAATGGAACTGGTTTAAAATGTTCTACGTTACCAGGCTTACGCACCATCTAAGGAAATATAAATGTTCATACTCATTTATGAGGATTATTTGCCCGTTACAGCAGGTTACAGCCGGATTTCTCGTCTGCGACAATCGTTCCGGGAAACAAACTTAACGCACACCGTAATGAAGACGGTATGTCCGAGCACGGGAATTCTCCAACCCACACCGTAATGAAGACGGTATGTCCGAGCACGGGAATTCTCTAACCCGACAAACGGGATACATTTGGCTCCCAAAGAAGACATTTCAAATCTAAGGGGGTGATTTTAGTCCGACGAGGAACTTAAGACTGGAAAATAATAGTTTACTGGTGTGTATATGTAACATCAGTATTCACAGCTATAAGGAAAATCAGGAATTAAACTGCTGCTTCCGACAAGAACTCACGTGGGACCTGGGTTAAGCGTCACTGATGAATACACGCTTCACTTGACAGTCCTCGTTTAACAATGTCCTCTGAAAACAGATTTATCAAGCCTAATAGTTTCTGCCACTAGCATCTATTTAACCGAATAAACGTCGGCGACGTTTTTAATAATTTATAGCGGTGGTTGATGGAAAACCATTGAAAGAACCCATTTGGGCGCAGACCTTTTGGTGTGTATAGGCCTAAATGCTAGGTTCCCACTATCGTGCGATGCGTTACGATAGGATTAACCCTATTGAGTCCACGATCTGGTACGTGCAGATACGTTCGGATACGTTACGATTGCTACGATTGACCTCAATAGTATGATTACGACCTGACAGGATCACCACGATTACTCCACGATTAGAACCACGATTTCAATCGTAGCGCGAATCGTGATAGGATCACCACGATTACTCTACGATTAGAACCACGATTTCAATCGTAGCATGAATCGTGATAGTGGGAACCTAACTTTAGGTGGCAGATCTGTTGCACTGCATTAATAATAACCGCTACAATTATTTATATTTTGTGGTACACTGGTCAAATAATCACTTCTCTTATTTAATGATATTTTCAGGAAATTTTTCCAAAGGAAGATTACCAAAATTGGTTAAGAACAAAGTTGATGGTGACAATTTTAAAAGGTCTTCGAAATTCAGATTCGTATTTGGATGACGTGGAACAGACAGTGAAAGTGAAAAAGAGGCAACGACAGTGTTATTGGTCAGTGGTCACGTGTTACTAATAAGGTGTCACGTGGTTGATCGTGTAACCAAAATGGCCAACTTCGATTTTTTGTGGATTCAAATGCTGCAATTACAAAACATATCTATGAACAGTACACTATCTATGAACAGTACAATATCAATCAGACTTTTACTAATTTTAAAATCACTTTTTATCCACTTAATTTTATTACCAGCACAACTATATATCATGCAGGGGTCTGGCGCCGTGAGGCGGGGGCAGTGGATCACTATCCCTCGGCTCGAAAATGTTTTTTAATTAGACTGTAAATGAATCTTTCTAGGGTATATCCTGAGTATCAAACCTTAGCGTGTGGCAATCTTACCAATTCATCAACAAAAACGTAAAATTATAGCTCACCAGAAAAACTTCATAAATCTTTTAAATAATGCAAGGATAAGTTGACATAATTACTTGCATTATTTAAACGATTTATAAAACTTTTCCGATGAGCTTTAAGACCAAAAAGCCCCCAAATTACGCGAGGCCATTAATTTCTTTAGAGGCCCCGGAGCATGCCATACTCGCAGGCTCTTTCCCAGTCCATCCCTGATATTATGTATTTTGAAGAAACAGTCGCTATTGATTACTTCATTTACTTCAGAGAGCAATGACGAACCGTATCGTAACTGAATTCAATAAATAAAACACACTGTGGTCGCTATAAATTGAGTAGTTATTAAAATTATTGACTTCGCTCAAAACTTTATTTTCCAGTTCTGGTATTTAAAACCACGTTCGGATGACATGTTGATTATTATGTCATAATGCCCTTTTATTTATTTTTTTTTTTTGGTCTTTTTTTAAAAAAAAAATGGTCACATAAAGAAATATTTCCCAAATCAAAACATTAGCCCCGACTTGATACACAGGTTAGGGATAGAGATAAAGAGAATCGCCACAATACAGTTGTTTTAAAGGACAACGCCACAATGCGGTTGTTTTAAAGGACCCTCGCCACAATACAGTTGTTGTAAAGGACAACGCCACAATTCAGTTGTTTTAAAGGACATCGCCACAATGCTGTTTTTTTTAAGGACAAACGCCACAATACAGTTGTTTTAAACGATCATCTCTACAATATGGTTGTTTTAAAGGACAGCGCTATAATATGGTTGTTTTAAATGACTAACGCTCAAGATCATTTGCCCGTTTTAAAGTTAAGCAATTTATGTCCTCAATATATCGATCGCTGGGTCTTGAAGTCAAGCAAATTATGTCCTTATAATACCGATCACTGAGTCTTGAAGTAAAGCTTGTTGGTCTAATAAACCCCTCTCTATATAAGTATACCTCAAATTCATGAGATTTATAACATCTCTCTTTATCTGTATTATTCACGTATTCCGAATAAGGAGGCAGACCACCGATTAAATTTAACCTTCTCGGTACCCACAAATTGTAGTTCGTCTATTAGATTCTCTGTCTGTAGTGAAAAGCATTCAGCCCAGCGAAAATTTGAGCAAAGATGGAGCCGGGCAAAGAGACAAAATTAACATTGAAGTGAATGTGGAAACTGATGGTGGTCTGTCGCCTATATATTAATAGAGGTCGGTGAGTTATCGGTCCTTGATGTTTAAAAATCTGATTCGGACCGCAATACCGCAGTGGTTTTCATAGCTCTGGTGTATATGCCCGCGTCTTTTTTTCGAAAAGATACATTTTTGACAAACAATGGAACTTAATTTCTTCTTTCAGGGACGTAATTTAATACAATTTGGTTAGATCGAGCTTAGAGAAATTCATAGTCTCGTGTGATTACCTTAAAATTCCGTGATGGTCATGTTTTCTTGACAACAAGTTACATTTGACAAATCCGATATTTACCTGGAATATTGTAATGTCTAGGGTTCACGGTGTTGTATACCTGGTACCTATCAGGACATGTTAAATGTCGCGACCCCCTACAGACCAGGCATACAGACCAGGCATATAGATCGAGAATACCAGAAAATTTTGTAGATATTTAAATGGCAACTGTTAATAATGTTTTCTCAGCTTTTTCTGTAATGATAATAAATAGCTAGTATCTTTGTATTGTTGTAGTTACAAATTAACCACGCGTTGTTGTTATATATCAACCACGTGTTGTTGCTGTTGTTACATATTTACCACGTGTTGTTGTGACATATTAACCACGCGTTGTTGTTACATATCAACCACGTGGTGTTACATATTTACCACGTGGTGTTACATATTTACCACGTGGTGTTACATATTTACCACATATTGTTACATATTTACTATGTGGTTCTGTAGCTTAAAGCAGCTAATCAACATGTGCATTTTTCAGACCATATGTAATTTTTCACTGCTTAATCCATTAAAGCATGTACGTGGCAAGGAGTAGGGTCGCCTGTCCAACCTCGTGGGTTTTCTCCGGGTCCTCCGGTTTCCTCCTACTGCTAAAGACCCCTACGCGCAAGCGAATTATTGAAATAAAATTAAACCATATGTTAGTCCCGAAATGACCTAGTTTGTGTCGAGTGGACGTTAAACCCCTTCTCTCTTTCTCTCTCCATTAAAGCATGTGTTTAAATTGAACACAATATAAATATACCCAAATAGTATCTAACAGCAGATTATCCCCCTGACTTGGATTTAAGCTATTCAAAAACAGGTCCATTACCCTGCACTCAGAGGATGCAGTACCTTGGAGGCACCGAATTATGTTTATGTCGTCAGCAGGGGATACGGAATGTTGCTTGTGATATTCTCAATTAACCATCTGGAAATACTGAACGGAATTGAATTATGTTTGGACCGATATTCCAATCTGATTAAAACACATATCCTATTTCGTTTCGTTTTCTATAGTTCAAAATTTCGTTTTACTTGTCTTTACTATACTAGAATCTAGAAGAGTTGTTATATAACACGCGTTGTGGTTGATGTGAGGGATTAGCCAATGAAATGGTCTGTTGAAGCAAGTTCTTGGCGTGTGATGCACGAAACTTTGGGTATTCTACTAGATACATCAACGCTCATATGACCCGTGACGCGACGTCCCACTACAACTGGTCAGATCATCATGTAGTAGAGGCCATCGAAAGTATAAAAAAAAAAACGAAACGAAATATAGATCTGTATTTTAATCAGATTGACCAATATTCCTTTCAAAGATCATCTTCCACAATGTCGTAGTTTGCAAGTATCCCTCAAAACGACGATCAGCGCTTCCAATTCCTTTGTTGAACTAGGTTTTTTTTTCTGGTTGTATCAATATCTCGATTGATAACGACAACAGAATCATGGCGGAAACATAGCTCCGATTAAAATTCTATAATTGCCTTCCGTAGAACTGTCGTAAGTATTTTAATGGTTGACGAAGCCCTGTCTCTATTGCTCAATTTCTTTGTCGAATCACGTATCAGATCTGACATTAGATGGCGTCAGACCAGAAGCAATAAATAACCATGGTGTAACATCGACCTTTTCCTAATGACGGGCCGCTATTTAAGTTAAGAAGGGTCGGATGATAACTCGCTCACCAAATGTTCACATGTTTCGTTACAAAGGGGCATAACCCCGCAAGTCAACGTCTGAAATTATTCCACGATTTACTCGTATATAGGCAGGCAGTCTACACAAATGATATAGATTCTTAAGTGTGGGTACTGGGAGCCGCGGTGGTTCAGTGAGTAAGACGTTGGCTCGCTAACCTGGAGGCCCCGTGTTGGCCGAGAAAGTTTATCGGCTATTTCCACCGTGGTCCCCCTTTCAGTGTTGCAGGACGGAGGTCTGGAAAGGGACAACGGATAGTCCCATGTACACATTGGCGTGCACGTAAAAGAACCTTAAAAGTTGGAATTCGATATAAGAGTATGTCGTAGTGCCGCTGTCCGGGTTAAATTTCCTCGTATAGCACACTATATGACGTATGCTCGTCTTCATTAGCCAAGTAGAACGTTAAACCCTATTTCATTTTTTTTTTAGTGTTAACAATAACTGCAGACGGACGGACGGACGGACAAGATTAACGGCAACATATACGGCCATGAATGTGCTGATCTGCGTTTAGTCTCTTTGATAATACAGAGATGCAACAGCCATTATATGAAATGACTGAATGAAATGGGGTTTAACGTCCTACTTTTCTGCTCCAACACGACTAATGAAGACGAACATACGCCATACAGTGTGCTACGATGAAAATTTGACCCGGACAGCAATTGTATTAAACGTGTCAAGGTTTGCTTTACGTGCACGCCAACATGTACACGGGACCCCAAGTTTTCGTCCCATCCGAAGGACTAGACGTATGTAAAACAAGGGTACCGCCATCCATAACTGCTTTTTCATAATCCCCCCCACCACCCAAGAAGTGTTTTATGCAAAAAAGTAACAGGTTAATGAGAAAGATGCTTTAGTTGTTTAAATATTTATATAGCATGACATATATGCCATGAGAGAGAGTGAGAGAGAGAGACCCACGGGGTTAGACATGCGACCCTATCTACGCCATGAACTCAACAACGCTATGCCGATGTCCCAAGATATTGAAATTTAAACACCTTCAGTTTGGGCTTATTAATTAATGGATACATTTATTCCATCTAACTGGGTTAAATTAGTTCCAAATTACATCAAATTCCACGATTTATAGACGAATGAGGAATATATAATATTGGAGATGCAAGACTATGAGGAGTTTGGGGTTTCATATTACAAGGAATTTCGCAATTTAATTAAAAGAAAACGGCATGTCGTAACTCCCTACGGAGTAACATGAGATTGCTGTTATTTCTTATTTTTAAGGTTAGTATTGCGTGATTCGATCATTATACTTGTATTCCAAATGTGTCTTCCGAGAGAGAGAGAGAGAGAGAGAGAGAGAGTTTTTTACGTTCAATCGACACAAACTAGATCATTTCGGGATTAACATATGGTTCAATCTTTATTTCAATAATTCGCTTGTGCGTAGGGTCTTTAGCAGTGGGATGAAATCGGATGACCCGGAGAAAACCCACGAGGTTGGACAGGCGACCTACTCCTTGTCACGTACAACCAGGGAATCCAAACCACACCAGTTGACTCAATGACCGACCTTATGATACAGCGCCTACGCGCTAACCATTCGCCCCCCCCCCCCCCCACACACACCAGAGAGTTAAACATACATTATGCAAGAGCTAAATCTGCCTATTGCAGGTCTGTCTTTAGGCCTGAAATATTATCTAAACTATTAATTAAACACATTAATTAACTTATCCAGATCATAAACAACTCTCGATGTCATCTTATGTGTCGGATTTTCACTGGATTTGAATCCGATCTCATTGATGATTTAATCCAAAAGTGGATAATTGAGACTGATGATCGAGGCTATAGACTTAAAATCCAAAACCTAATACCTCGGGTCAAAGTGGAGCAATTTGACTGAAATTTTCAACATATTCTATTTGCATGATCTATTTTTAACTCTTATAGTAAGAAGAGTCAACTATTTATCTAATTTCCCATAATGCCTCTTTAATGTTTTGGAAATAATATCTAAGAGTCTGGATGATGTATATTACTATAATAACCGAGACTACTGTGTTTGGTTTGTGTCGTACATATTTGGATATATCTAAACACACCCTAAAGATCCATTCCGCACTGGGGGTTCACGGTAGCTAAGTGGATAAGACGCTGGCTCGCTAGCCTGGAGGACGGGTGTTCGATCCCTGCATTGGGCGAGAAAATTCACCCAGATTTTCCGACGTGGTTCCTCCTTGTCAGTGATGCAGGACGGAGGATGGGACGAAAAACGAGGTCCCGATTAAAAAACATTGGCGTGCACGTAAAAGATCCCTTGACAGTTGGAATAGGCCGTGGTGAAGCTGTCCGGGCAAAATTTCCCTCATAGCACACTGTATGGCGTATGCCCGTCTTCATTACATTAGCCCAGTCGGAGTAGAACAGTAGGACGTTAAAGCCTTTTATACAATTTACGCAGAGACTTATCTCGGGATTTTCCGGCGTGGTTTACCTTTGTCAGTGGTGCAGGGCTGGCAGCCTACTGGCAGCCTATCAAGCAACTGTCGTTCGAATGGGACGAAAACCCGAGATCCAGTGTAGACATTGGTCTGCACATAATGAACCCTTGGCAGTTTGAATTCGACATAAGAGTAGGCCGTAGCGTCGCAATCCGGACGAAATTGGTCTCATAGTACACCGCATGGCATATGCCCGTCTCCATTAGCCAAGTCGGTGCAGAAAAGTAGGACGCCAAACCCCTAGTCGTTCGAATGAGACGAAACCCCGAGATGCCGTGTACACATTAGCGATTTAGCGTGTGAATCCCCGGTTGTACGTGGCAAGGAGTAGGGTCGCCTGTCCAACCTCGTGGGTTTTCTCCGGGTCCTCCGGTTTCCCCCCACTGCTAAAGACCCCTACGCGCAAGCGAATTATTGAAATAAAATTAAACCATGTGTTAGTCCCGAAAGGACCTAGTTTGTGTTGAGTGGACGTTAAACCCCATTTCTCTCTCTCTCTCGATTTAGCGTGCGCATAAATATAGCACAATGCATGACGTATACCCGTGTGCATTAGCCCAGTTTGTGTAGAAAACCCCATGTCATTTCGCTTATCAAATCTAGTTCTGTTGTAGCAGAAACGGAGACAATATAATCCGTGGTGATCGAGGCTAGGAATTTATAATTTTAACGCTTTAATGTTCAGTGTGGCTCTCTCCAAAAAGAAATAAAACGTCACAGTGATTAGAAATATAGGGGTAATATGGCCGTTTAGCAAAGTTTTAAACAATCTCACCAATTGTTTTTAAAATGTCTAAACTACAGAGGGTGGGCAGGGGATAGGATGGCCGAATGGCTAGCGCGTGCGCGCTGTATCATAAGGTCTGTCATTGAGTCAACTTGCTTGGTTTCGATTCTCCGGTTGTACATGACAAGGAGAAGGGTCTCCTGTCCAACCTCGTGGGTTTTCACCGGGTCCTCCCGTAGCCTGCGATCTTTAGTGGATTATGATCCGATTTACTGCTCAACTTTCCTTCACGATTTAATGATTAAATGGATAATCGAGACTATGCT